CCGCGGTGGAGGCCTGGATGTGGGCAGGCCTGCAGCTCCGCCAGGAGCACTTGGCTGAGGAGTGAGCCAGGAATGCTATCCTGCAGACCCTGCTGCAGAGCATGGTGCCCCGTGCTGGTCCTGCGCCTGCTGCCCCCCCAACTTCTGTCCCTCCTTCCACTCCTGCCCCCCATCCCACCTCTTCCTCCTCAACCCCCACACCCTCTTCCTCAATGTCCACACCCCCCGCCTCAACCTCCGCACCCTCCGCCCCATCCCCCAAGGGACACCGAGGCCCCCTCCCTCGCCGTGCTGGGAGGCGGTTGGCCCAGCGAGACCACCACCCCTGATCCCTGAGTTTCCCCACCCCCTCCTTTCCCTTGCTTCCCCCTTCCAGCTCCGTCCTCCCAGTTTTCCCCCTCCCCTCTCCCACCCTCTCTCTTCCCTTCTCCCACCTCCTTTTCCCAGTCTCCCCCAGTTTCGTTCAATCCGAGGCCCCCTCCCTCGCCGTGCTGGGAGGCGGTTGGCCCAGCGAGACCACCACCCCTGATCCCTGAGTTTCCCCACCCCCTCCTTTCCCTTGCTTCCCCCTTCCAGCTCCGTCCTCCCAGTTTTCCCCCTCCCCTCTCCCACCCTCTCTCTTCCCTTCTCCCACCTCCTTTTCCCAGTCTCCCCCAGTTTCGTTCAATAAAGAGAGTTTGTATTTTAGAACACATCTGTCCTTTATTTTGTACATCAGGAAGGGGGGCTAGGGAGGGGTAAGTGGAAGGAGGTGAGGGAGGAATGGGGTACGAGCCCCCGATGGGGAGGACAGGGGTGGCTCTGCGGGCTCCTCGGGATGGAAGCTCTCCTGCAGCCCCCCGATTGACCACCCCCCCGGATGGCAGCCTGCGGCAAGTGCAGCTGTGCTGATGGCCGAGTGCTGTGATGTGCCGGGTGTGGACACTCAGGGCACTCCAAGCCAGGACTGCTTTGTAAGCAGGGAACCCCTGAGAACTGTCTGTCCGGGATGGGGGTCGGGTCCCTTTAAGCACAGCCCTCGGCTAGCCTGAGACAGCAGCTCCACGCTCTAAGTCCTCATCTGATGCCCTGCCGGCACTGCTTCCGGCCATCCTTAACCCCGCTAATTCGAACTAGTTTTTAAGACTAGATGCGCTAATTCGAATTAGCTTAGTTCGAATTAACTAATTCGAACTAAGTTAGTTCGAATTAGTGCTGTAGTGTAGACATACCCTCAGGGATTTGTCAAGCTGGGCCTTGAAAACCTCTAGGGATGGAGATTCCACTGCCTTCCTAGATAACCCATTCCAGTGCTTCACTACCCTCCTAGTTAAATAGTTTTTCCTAATATTCAACCTAGACCTCCCCCACTGCACTTTGTGACCATTGCTCCTCATTCTGTCATGTGTTAAGATCCAGGTGGGAGCCATACTGAGTAAAGTTAAGTGTCTAAGTCAAGAGCATTTTTCTTTTAAATTGAAAACATTTTTTCTGTGAATATGAAGCCTATTCTAACATGTTAACTCACATTGTTCCTCTCTGGTAAAATTTGTCTCATAAAAGCCGCAGGAACATGTTAATTATTATTCATCTGTATTATAGTAGGGCCTGGAAAATTTGCAGTAAATGTCCTGTTGCTCTAGGTACTGTATGGAAAAGAACAAAGATAGTCCCTGTCCCAGAGAATTCAGTTTCTGCCAGACAGGATGTAATAGGGGGGACAAAACAGTCAGACAGAGACGTGAGTGGAAGATAAGGGAAAAAATATAAAGTGGGAGCTTGCCACTTGTCTAATCCAGTGCCAGAGGGGAGTGATTTGCTAGTATCACAACATTGGTGGATTTCAAGAAAGGATTTAAACTGGTAGCTGCTTGAGGCAATTTGTCAGGAGATTTTTCACACGCATGAGAGAAAGCACTGGGGGATTGAAAAGATTAGTGGACGCGATGGAACTCAAAGCTGTCATTTATGTCTGAATGTACCTCTGATCTTTCAGGTCTCTCTCGCTCCATGGTCTTTCTCCTCAGCAATCTTCTCACACCTTTGTCAAACATCATCTGTCTCTTGGTGTTGCTCATTGCAGCCTCATTCATCTTTCTTACTTGAGAAATCAGGAAGGATGGGACCTAGGGAGAGGAAACCCAGAGTGTATGCAAGAGGATGAAAAAACCCTTCTCCACACCAAAAAGTGATGCCAGTGATTGTGACAGGTGCCAAATAGAAAGCACTGAACACCAAAGTTCCGTTTATTCCCAGGAGACATCCCCAATAACACTCGCCCACCCCTTGGGTTAAAATGATGGCACATTTCCCATGCCATTTCAATCTATGACTTCTGTGATGAAGCTATCAACAAGGATGATTACTAACGCCAGTTATAATAATATATTTTAGCTCTACCTTATGGATTTACATGTCTTCCATTACCATAGTTCCTGAGCACCTCAGATCTGTAATGCCACACTCACAACATTTCTGTGGGGAGCAGAAGAACTATTATCCTTGGTGGAGGAGGCGGGGAGAGTGCACAGAGCTCTGCACGCTGCCTCTACCCCAACCACTAGCTCTGCACTCCCATTGGAACTTGCTGCTGGCTGCTTCTGGGAGCGGCATGGTCTGCAGTGCCAGGAGAGGCAGGAAGCCTGCCTCAGCATCTCTGATGCACCGCTGAATAGGAGCTGCTCAGGGTAAGCCACTCCTACCCCAGCCCTACTATCCACAAAGCCGGAGCCCCCTTCTACACACCAAAGCTCCCATCATTAGCCTCATCCTGGAGCTCATACTCCAGTCAAATGATGTTGGGTTGCGGGCATCACCAATTTTCTTTAACTGGGTCATGAGAAAAAAGTTTGAAAACCCTGAACTCTAAGGCACACACAGAGTAAATGTTTGCCCCAAGTCATACAAGCAGTCTATGGCACAAGCAGGTATTTTCTGGGTCTAGTGCTAGTGCCCTAACCATGGGGCTGTCCCCTTTGTCTCCTAGGAAAGGAAGCAAGGGTTGCCAAGAAATTCATGCAGGCCACCAAAAGTTGTCAGATGGTAATGACTCCTGTTCAGTATTGATATGGACTGGATTTGAGTGAGTAATCTTGGAATGAACAGCTCTATCCCGACCTCAAAAAAGTGAATAAAAGAGTGACAAGCCAGTGAGTAATGCTGGCCTCTATCTTCAGTCACACTCTTAAGTAATACAATACAAGTGAAGAGTTTCATGCTTGCCATGCTGTAGTAAAAGCCCAATGCCACACTGTACACATAGAAAGATAAGTATAAGAGCTACCAAATTTGAAGGCATGAAAGAAACCTTTATAGAAATGGCCTGCAAACAACATTTTGGACAAACTTAAAGCTAGCTGGTGGTTACAGTATATTAATGCTCTCACTTGGGGCAAAGTTCAAGCTTACATAGCAAGTGAACAAAAGGCTAATGGATCAAAGCATTGTACAGAAATTAATTTCAGCATTGTCATCTATGTGTTCTAGGCATGTTTCCTTGTCTATTTATGGCTGCATCTTATAGCAAAGGTAGGCTCCGAAATCTAGAAAAACTAATATGGGAACCAAAGCACATATACTATAGTCAGCATTACTCACTGTCCACAGGATGTCCTGGTACTTAATTAAAAGTCTCACAATGTGTGCCGTGGTGGCTGCTGCTTGCATCTCTTCTTTGTTTGCATGTTTGCCTTTGTAGATGAAGAGATTTGGTGCAACAATCATGGAAACATTCCATAAATTCATTTTGTTTTTCCCTTCATTAGCAACTATCTTCTTCAGGAACTGCAGAAAGGCCTAGGGAAAGCAGTACCGCTCATACTTAGTACAATGCATCATCACATACAACGTGAGTACCATGTTTTCAAATCCACAGTGCACTTGGCTAGATGGATGGAACCTCTCCTCTTGGATGTGGTACTTAGAAAAGTCTTTGTGTCCTCCAGATTGGACTACTACAATGTGCCCTACCTGGGTTGGTTCTTAAAAAACACTTAGTAATATCTCATATCACCAAGTATATAACATGAATAGATCTTATCCAAAGTATGCAGCACACAATCTAAAACCCATTAAAGTCAACTGGAGGCTTTTCACTGACTTCAATAGAGTGTGAATTAGGCCTTTACTTAGCCCATATTGCATCTCTATTCTATAAATGATGCTAACTATCTGGTTTCCACATACAATTCAAGATACTGATTTTGATCGAAATGTCCTACATTGTTTGAGTCCTGACTACCTTAATGACAACCTCTCTCCTTAAGTAGCAACCCTACACGTCTGTCAATAGATCCAAGATGCTAACTCTGGGATGATAGAAGTAAGGAGTTCTCAGTTGGGCTTCAACTCTAGAATTACTGTTGAGCATCAGTTCCAGTATCAAGGGCAGTTTGGTGCCCTTTTGGATGTAGTTCAGGAATCAACTATTTATTCAGGCTTTCACTCGAATGAGTAGGCTGCATTTTATAACATTATGTAAGCAACTGCCTTGTACGGTAAACACACAACAGACATTTTGTTGAAGACATTTCTAAGTTAGAATGATGCTTTGTTACAGATGGGGAAAGATAAGAACATTCACATTTTGCCTTTACTTTTCTAATTCTGTTTCATTTAATAATTTATCATCCATAATTATTAGCACTACTGGCTTGTGGACTGCCCTGTGAAATACGGTTCATGGGTATGAAATTTGGCCAAATGCAACTATTCATATTATCTATTTATTACATAGCATTTTTTATCATTAAGATTTCAAAGTGGTTTGTAGTGGAGGTCGATATCAGGATTCCCTTGGCAAAGGGACAGGGAAATGGAATGTCTTATCTGAGGTCACCCAGTAAGACAATGCCAGTTCCAGGAACAAAGCCCTACTTGGTTGGCCATGGAACCCTACGAATACATAGTATTGGGTATATATGATTAGAAACAATTATAAACAAAATCTGAACATCTGGAATGTAGACAAAGTATGAAACAAAACTGGAAATAAATGGATACGTAACACACATGATTTATGAACCATCAAAGAGAACACTGTGCAAAAGCCAACAGTGTGAATGTTATTGATCTAAACTATCTGGTAAATACCTACCAATAATTAATACAATTAAAAATAATGTATTTGTGAATCACCCACTATCAAGCAAGGGGCTACATCCATAACAGATATTATTCCTAATAAGCACAAATGGCTGTGTTCCATTAGAAATTCCCCAGAAAACTAGAGAAACTTTAAGAATGATACTAATATGAATATTTGTGGGTGGGAGGGAGAATCTGATCATTTGCTGTTACTAACAAACCTTGACTCATTTAAAAGTAAACAAAAGGCAGATGAGAGCACCTACCTTGGCTGTATCCCTGTTGGCATCAGGCAACAACATGATCAGCAGATGCAAAGCTTGTAACTGTAACTTGACATTGGAGACTTCTAAGAATATAATAATTAATATTTTAAAAGTCATAATTTCCATGAGACCTGTGCTAGAAAGAGCTGTGAAATGCATGGTGAGGCTACTTCGTAACTACAACAGTGTAATCATAACTCCTATGTCACCCCCCTCCCTGGAGTTAATTTAGGGAAATACTGGTTGGGAATGAATGGCCTATAGTCATCACGGGATCAGGGAAATCATAAGGTCTCTTTTTCACTCACACTCTTGAGTTCCTCTATAGCTGTGGATCTGGAACTTTATCTCTGCTTTCATCTTCAGCTACTATAGGGCCATAAAGACAAACTATAGCATTACTTTTAAAGGGGAAAGGTTACACTGATAAATTATTCAGAAACTTCAGATGCTGCTCTGATACATGACATTTTTTTCTTCTAATTAAATGTTGGCCTTTCACCAGAGTATCCTAAGTGTAATGAGTGTTTTTCCCTTAACATGACTTGTGTCTATAATTCTACTGGACTAGTCTGGGCAAATAGGAAGGAGGAAATTGAATGATACAAGATGATGCACAGAATTTTTAACTCAAGCTTTATAGGGTGCAAGGATCATAAGAACAATCTCTTCTCTCTGGGGAGATGCTCCCTGAATAACCTATTCCCTGGCTCACATAAGGCCAATTCTTCTTTGATGTCACTGTGGGATTCTCTTGTGTATCAGATCACCCTTCTACAACATAGTACTTCTGAGTTTAAATTGGCACAGCAAAGTGTATTTTCAGGATAATTTCAGACTAACTTTGTTAAATGATTTACTGAACCCAGCTGCCACTAGATTGTGGATGGATTTTGTATTCTTTTTAGTTATAATTTCACTCTTGTGCCTACTCCCAAATCTGTCTCTCTGTAAAAATGCATAGCATGAATGTAGGTTTGCAAAGGACATCATGCCATAAAGGCACTAGCCACTGCTGGCAGGGAGGGGCAGGATATGACTCCTGGAAGCACCATATGGAGCTACCTAATATGAAGAGTTGATGGTGGGGACGAGAAAGGGGAAGAAAAGGAAGTGTTGCTGCTGCTATACTGCGTATGGAGTGAAAAGCACAGGCACCTCTAATCAACCTCACTTCTTTCATACTCCCCTCTGTGGGGTCCTAGCTCCATGCATTCAGGTAAGCCTCATGACCAGCCTATGTGCTGGTTTGCAAGATGGAGTCAACTTGTGGAACTGCCCTCCTTCTTTGACATAGACAGACTGCTTGGTCACAATTTTCTCAAAATAGAAAAAGTGGCTCAGGAGCTGAATGCATGAGAGAATTAGGACCCAAAACTTAGCCGCCTGAAGCCTTTCACAAGCATCTTGCCTGCAGAGCCTGATCAAAAATAACCTTTCATGAAAGAAAACAAAATCTAATAACAATCAAATATGGTAAAATCCATGTACAAAAGCCAGTTTTCAACCACTTATTTACAACATTCTGCTTTAAATAGCTGTTTGCTAATACACCTATATGTTTAGCCAGATACTCCAAGTGCCATTTGAGAAGAAGGCTTATGGGACACCAAAATGATAATGAGATACTGGCAATCTCTTTTCTCTTTTTAGCTCAGTTGTAGTTTACAGATGTGTCCATTTACATTCATTTCTTTCTACATACTTTCCACTAGTGTGATGAAGGCAGGCAGATATTCTACAGTGAAGAGGGGGCTTGGGAGTTCTCTTATAAACATCTTCAGCAGTCCTGCTGCATCATTGTTTCGAACTTGGTCCCAGTCAAATGTGTCTTCATGAAATTTTGTTTCAATTTCTTGATGGAGAATCTGTAAGACAAAAGAAGGTGATTTATTTTAATTATAGCTGCTGACAGGTGAGCTTTATTTTATCTCCCGAATGCCATGAACAACAAAGACAGTTTTGTGAAGTATAGAGTTTGAAATGGAACAAACATTTCTACATCCTCTTAAACACAAGGGATTAGGATCCTCAAAGTCATTTAATCTGTATGTGTTTTATACATGCCAGTAGTTTCCATTAGAGAGACAAGGTACTTGAGATGATATCTTTTATTTGATCACCTTCTTTTGGTGAAGGAGGCAAGCTTTTGACCTGTACAGAGCTCTTCTTCAGGTAGCCCCAGCTGGCTCTCCCATGTGTGGTCATAATGGAGGCTGCTTTTCAGTAGACAGAAATCCTTGCTTCTCTTCATTAGTCTTATTTTTAGATAAGCCTCAACTTGTTTGACCTACATGGTACCAGTTCAGTACTCTGACATAACTCTACCACCTCCAAAACCTTCAGGCAGGTAAAATAGTAGTTATTCTATCAATCTGGCTTCCTAGTTAAACCTTTCTGGCATCTGTGCTCCAGAACAAGGTCCAATCAGCAATGAAATGTAAGTAGTTAAAATCCTATATGTGTGTCAATGGAGAACATAAAGAGACTCAGCAGAGAAAAATAATTTGGTCCAAGCTTTGAATTACAGTTTGGAAACAAACTAAAAACAAAAATGACCCCACAAAACAAAACAACCAAACCCTGACTGTGATATCTGAAGAAGATTCCAGGATTGGGAAGATAATGTCTTACAATGAGATTCACCATTGTTATCCTGAATGTGAAAAAGTTCTAAGTGAAGAGGAATATTTTATTGACAGTGCTGAAGACCACAACACAAAACTGATAAGTTACCATCTCCTAAGAGGAGAAAACTTGCCAATATAAATTAAGAAAAACAGCCCATGTGTTATATGAAGATCAGAACTAGCCTAGGCAAAGGGTAATTTTCCTTTTAACAGATTGTTGCTCTAGTCTACTTGAAAGCTAGAAAGCAAAGCTTCTTAAAACACATGTATAAATCCTGTTCTCCAGAAGGCCTTACAAATATGGTAGTCTGGTTTGTGCCTTTGTCTCTTGAAAATGGCCTTGTCTGGCTCACTATTGTCTTCTCATTCATAATTATTACAAGTAGCATTTCTAATCACTCATAGCTGTTTTTGCCTTACAGACACAAGGTGGTGTTGATTTCAATGGGACTGTTTATTTGAGCAGGATTTGGTTCCACATTTCTTGGGCAATTTTTAATCAGATTTTCATCAAATCTGCATTAGCAATTTGCAAGAAAATATTCAGAAAGAAGAGTTGCTAAAAATGAATAGTGGGCTGAACATGCCTCACATCAATGGAAGGAAGTTACATATCAAATACTATTACCTATAATGAAGCAAAACTATTGGCACAAAAGAAATATAAAGTCATTCAGGATTTGGTGTATAGTGTTACAATACCATTCTTACTTGCACACTTCTTTGGCTGAATTCTCTGTCTTCTTAATCTCTTTTACAGTCTCATCCCTTAAACCTAATCCATTCAAACACCAGGAAAACATGCCCTGACTGATGAGCATAGAGCAAGGCTCATCCCCTCATTGAAAGCACAAGGGCAGAGAGCGAGCCTTCAAGATTTTGCTGTTAGTATTTCAAGAACAGAAGGAAGGTTCTAGAAATAGAGAGAACTGAGAGGAGACATCGACTTCTCAAGACATACATAAAAGAAATTTGTGAGTAATTATGTTGTAGAAATATATTCTTGTAATAGCCTTCTGTGTGTATTTGTTATTTCATTTTGTTCCTGAGCTCACCAAAGAATACTTTAACATGCATTTTGACATTTTGCTTCAGTATCTACCACACATCTGAAAGGCAGAAGGAAATATATTTATTTCTTCTTCTTTTTTATTATTTAAAACAGTAACTTTTAATCACATCCATATGCCTTTCATTTTTTTTAAAACAAGAATTTACGTTAAATTGGAATACCCTCAGATCCTCATGAAATGATAATGTATAATGGCTCAGAAGGATGAAATCTGTAACTACTTAAGGAAATCCTTTCCCCTGCCCTTCATTGGTTGACTTGTTGGACACACTTAAATGAATACAAACTCAAATAAAACACATGATATGGTTCATGTGGATGTTTGACTTAACCACCCAGTATAGGAAAGTCAGACACACACAGACACAGATCAAAGTGATTCTCTGGATACAGGTCACAAAAGCAGAACAGGATATGATATAGCATGTGCATATGTAACCCACATACCTAGTGTGGTTCACTGTTCCATGTAGAGGCACTTAGATCATTTACAGCCAGAATTCAGAACAAGAGACCTCTACAGCCTAAGCTAAGAGCCCACTGGCTTCATAGCTCAAGCTCAATTTCAAAATAAGCTATTCCAGAATAGTTATTCCAAAATAGGTTATTTCAAAACATACCCTCAGTATTTCTGAAATAAGTTAAAATAAAAGAAGTGAGATCATAGCAGTTCTGAATGGCATGGAAGTCAGATAACTTCTAAACCCCACAGGTGAGGAAGTTAATAGTTAATAGTGAGTTAATAGAGCAGAACTGCACTTGAGCCAATGTGCCCTCTAATATTAGCCCATGCTAAGTTATGATCCTTGGTTTCAGGAAGCAAATCACAAGTCTCTGCTTTTGCTGGTAAAAACGGGGACTGGAAATCTTTCTATACACACTTTGCCACTTTCTACAGACTAATGGTTACAAGAAGGAGAATGAGAAAATACAGGTACCTTAACTCTGGAGGCAGATCCAGGAACTCGCAGAATCCCTTCCGTTTCTAAACCCGTTGCCTCAAGCTTGAGTAACAGCTAAAATGCAACAGCACCATTTAAAAATAGTAGTTATCTTTTAGCAAACCTGCTTCCCCTAAAAAAACATTTGATTGATGTAGTTTATCATCAAGAATAACAGCAAATCACTTGGATCCTACTTTCTGTATTCCTAAACCTGTGCTTTTTCAGGCTATGTCTACACTGCAGGGGTTTTTCTGGGATGTATCCTGGAAAAACCCCACTGCATCCAGGGAACACGTTTGCTCTTCTACTCTTTTTTGCAGAAGCGCAAACGTTCTTTCGGAATCTCTGTCTTCCTCATTCCATGAGGTAGAAGGGAACTTCCGAAAGAGGGAGTTTCCAAAATTTGGCCCAGTATAGATGGGCCAAATTTTGGAAAAGCCTGGATTTTTCCAAATTCTGGAATAAAAATTGGAAAAAATAATTGTGTTGCATTTATTCACATGACACTGGATTTTCATTATTAATTGTTCTCCTCCAAATCTAGCTCTATTTTTCTAATAGGCAATCAGATCTACAGTTGGGCAAATTGATTCAAATGAAATTTTTTTCCCACCAAAAATACATTTTTGGATTGATGAAAACAAAATGAATTGTTTCAAAATGAAAAAATTAACTCTATCTAAATTCATATATATTAGTTTGTTTTCTTTCAGGCAATATTTTCATTGAATGTGACTTTAATCTTAAAATTGGATGTCTATATACATTTTCATGTATATGTGTGTATATGTATATGTGAGACTAATTGAGTCATCCACTGGATGTCGCTATTACTTCACACTAGTACAGCTGAATGACCATCTTCTTGGCTCTATGAATTTCATTCAAATGACACCAGTTCACTTTTTATAGTCTCAGAAAAGACAACACGTCTGCAATTTGAATTCATGTGAAATTATAAATGCTCTCCTTTCAAAAATATTTCATCAATCCAAATATGCCAAATAAAAAAAAAGGGAGCAGAATCCTATGCACTTGGTTCTGTGCCTTTCCTATGCAATATTTTATAAATATACCACCGAAACTGGAAAAAACTCCCAGCAGCAGTCTCATGAGAAATTTAAATAAGAACATAAGGACAGAAATAAATTGCAAACTCCTGAAGCCATTAAAGACTGTCATCTTTTATCTGATGTGTGCATTGAGTATCGATGCTAATGATGAAAATTCAAGCCATACATGATTTTGTTCTACTCACTTTTTGGAATATGAGAGGAACTTTTATTCCTGGCACCTTCTTTTGATCGTTTTCCAGCAGGATCGTGAGAGGGACTCCAAAAAGACCATTTTCTTTTTGAACAAGATTTGAAAAGAAAGAGAGAAAGTGAAGCCTAATAAGTGTCTTCTTGGTAAGCACTACAAATCACAAAACACGTCAGCCAGCTACCACCGTACATTTACCTCGTCCTTTGATTCTTTCTGTTCTGTTCCTCTTTAGTTCTATTCCCAAAGCATCATAGAAGGCTGTTAATTCAATCAGAGAGAGATAGCGAATTTTCTTCATGTCTTCAAGAGATAGGTCTCCGACTTCTGTCAGGCCAAATCGACTTTTTCGAACAATAAATTTCTAGAAGAAATATATATAAACAAGTTTTTATTTCACAAGCTCAAGAAATGCATAGCTTTTAAAATTACTCTTTCGGAAGACTTTTTTTTTTTTTTAAATAAAAGATATGCCCCAGTGCTGCAAAAAGTCATGTGGTAGTGATTTGATAGTTGTAATAACTCTGAGCTAAGCCCATACTCCTGGCTCTTGGGCTGGTGACCATTTTAATCTGAGTTGTAAGACTGAGCACCTGATCCTTTGTGCTCAATTATAGATCTCTTGGCAATTTTTGTAAAAGCAGGGGTGTTAGCCTTGATGTCCTGGACATGTTCCAATTTTTAACAATTAGCTAAGCTACATTCTAACTACACTTTCCTCTCTAGTTCCAATAGGGTTTAATTATCCACCCCATGTCCCTTAAGTCTTCCATACACTGCTTGATGCTGTTAAACAGAGGCCACATTTCATCACAACAATGGCTGCATATCAGTGATGGAGAAAGTGGTTCTGCATATTTTTGGCACTTTGATGGAAGTGTGGTCTGATGTTCTAAGTACATTACTTAGAAGCAAGAACACTTACATCCTAATGTCATGTTGGTGTAACCCAAGCCTGTTTGCTGTGGCATTCTGTCTCCCTCTACTGGTACCTACATCAGCTAGAGCCAGCTTGTTAGTTACATCCTTGGCTAAAAGAAATGCATGTTTTAGCTCATGCAGTCGTGGCTCATGCATTAAAGCTCCAGAGATCCCAAATTTGATCCTGGCCAATGATGATTGGGGTCTGCTGGCATTACATAGGCACTGGGTCTGGCTTCTTACAAAGAACTGCTTTAGGGTGAATAATATGAAACTTAAATGGTAAAAGGTTAAGAGATACTCATGAAAGTAAAATCCATGGATTGTTTACATGAACTGAATGCTAATTTGCAGCTTCTGGCACATGAAAATAGGAATATTGCTGCATCGGGATATGTGTTGTTCTAACATGGTATCCATGCTATAAAACTGTAATAAGAAAGAAAAAAAAGCTCTTTTTATGCATCTTGTTGTCATTATGATCATTAGTATTATCCAAAAAACCTTGACTGTGCATAGCTCTATTAAACGTTGGCATCGTTATGCAATTCAAGCCAGTGACTACCAGCCATAAGCACTTACTAAATAAATGGTGCTACAAGTCAATTCTACTTGGGCATCCATCTTAAAACCAAAAACCTTTTTGGGATGTCATTCCAATCCTCTCATTTAATTAAAATGCAATCAGGTTCAGTGCCTCGGTTCTAACTCACTCTCAATAAAAGCCATCAAACAGAGAAACAATAGTCAAAGAAAAAGCTAACAAAAATGACAGGTCTTGCATTGTGCTCTAAAAGCAACAGAGGACAAAACTCTGGCAGATCACAGAGGAACTGAGTGCAGAAGGCTATGATCTCCAACACACAAAGCAGGATATGATCCTAAACAGGGTGCAAGAGGAAGCATAGCGAGATATCTTCTCTGGGCCAAATTGGCAAGTACAGAAAATGACCCCAAAATCCAAAAATTAATTAATAAAACATATGATAAGAGATGTTGCCATGATACACCACCAAAGCAAAGTAAAACAGCGATGTACCTGAAGGATGAAACAGAAGGCTAAAAAAACCATATTTAAAATAATTACTGTAAGTGACTTTGATGATGGATTGCTGTCTCCTACAGTCATTTTGATGTGATGTAGTCTTAACATGAGGTTTGGAGCTCTCTCTTTGTAAGAAAAGCACTGAGAATCTATGGCATAGAGCACCACAAACCACAGAGTTAGCAAGCTATACAGCATTAAAATTGTGACACCTCATTGTGATAAACTTTAAATTTACTCAATCTCTATGGTTTTAGAAATTAGATTTCTGGTATTTGGCTCAAGATCATATGCTGCAAACATCAATTTACCATCTGACACATCGCCTGTATGGGGGATTATGTACTGTATTTGACTGGATTTGATGTGATAGTAGGATGTTACTTCTCCAATATCTATGATTACATTCCTTTAATCATGTTCCCAGAGGGCTAGATTATGCAGTTTGAACACAGCCCTGTGTAGGGATGGTGTGGACGTGCATCATTGCTGGAGTAGCACTGGAAAAGATTGCACTTTAGGGGTGTGTCTAAACTACATGGCTCTATCGATGGAGCCATGTAAATTAGGCTGATCGGCAAAGGGAAATGAAGCGGCGATTTAAATAATCGCGGCTTCATTTAAATTTAAATGTCTGCTGCGCTGAGCTGACAAAACAGCTGATCAGCTGTTTGTTGGCTCAGAGCGCTAATCTGGACGCTCCCATGCCGAGCTGAAAGCCCTTTATCAACCTCCCCATTATACCTCGTAGAATGAGGTTTACCGGGGAGGTCGATAAAGGGCTTTCATGTCGGCAGAGGAGTGTCCAGACTGCCCCGATCTGCCGACAAACAGCTGATCGGCAGAGCGGGGCAGCCATTTAAATTTAAATGAAGCTGCGATTATTTAAAGCGTGGCTTCATTTCCCTTTGCCGAACAAACAAATCTATATGGCTCCGTCGACGGAGCCATGTAGTCTAGACGTACCCTAGGAGGCAAAATTTCTTCCAGAGCTTCTTAGTTGTCTAAGTGCATATAAGATACTACATACTAGTCACAAATCCCCCAGTTTTGCATGCAAAATTGTCCACTTGAAACACATCTGTGGGCTTCTCAGAAGTTATTCATGTAAGTATACCATCAGTACCAAGACACCTTCTGTGTGCTACTTGCCTCAGATTACTCTGCCAGGCTAGTTAGGAGGTTTAGATTTATGGCTGGAAGAGTGTGCAGGATAGGTAATATCTTTAGAATTCAGAGTGGGATGTTATAGTGAGGATTAGGGAAAGGTTAGAGGTTTTCTAGTAACAGGAGCAAGGAGAACAGTTCAGTATGATAGGAGCAGGATAACTAGGAAGAAAGCTTGTTTCCTCAAAATTGCTCAAATTATTATCACCACAGAGGAATCAGACTATATTCCATGGCATAAATAATCTACTTTATACTTATTTACCTAATGCACTATGGAAATGTGGGGTTCCTGAGGTCTTCTCCATTGGTGGTATGAGATATGTGCAAACTGATGGTTCTTGAATTCAGTGTCCATTCAGACAAGAACTATTCTTTCAGTTTAGGACCTCATAGTTGTGTGATGTTGATGGGACTTTTCCATATGGTTAATGGCTTGATTCATACATCTGGCTAAAGTCTGGAACCAGTGTTCAGACTTTCATTGGATGGTGGGATGGTGGTTTTGATTACATTCTTGACATAACTGATCATAAAGACCTCAAGTTTGGGAGTCAGGGCACAAGTTTCCTCTCAAGATATGAATCTGTTTTAATGGACAACCCTTGGAAGCTGACAGAATCAATAAGCTGCCACCTGGCTCAGAGAGAGAATGCCATCTGGCTGAAAGACTACAACTATGCATACCTGGTTGGACAATAACTTTCTGTCCCTGACTCCTTGATCTAGTATGCTGTATCTTTGCCAAACACTAATCTGAGACAATTTGTGATACTGGAGAACAGAATCAAGGTTCACGCTTCCTCCCACATCTAACAGATCTCAGGAAACTAAAACCCATATTGAGGAAAGTAGAGAATATGGATGCAGATAAAGGGAGGGAAGTAGGTAAAGTAATAAAGGTGGATTGGCAGAATTGGTTCCAGTAACTGATCTTTGTTTTTATGTGAAATATTAGTGGGTGACACTTTGCAATACCATTTTAAGTATTGGGGTATATATCCTAAATTGTGCTGGGTATAGATGTGTCTATGACTAAGCACACATTTCAGTTTCGGTGCCTCACTGTGAATGCTGCCTGGTGGGTGACAGTCAAGTACAGCAAGAAGCCTTTACAAATATAATAAAGCTTAAAACACATATATAGAGGGAAATCCAATATAGCTTAAGAGACTTCACTGTAGTGGGCAAAATGAAGCAGGAAATGAATGGAGTAAAGAAGAACTATTGAGTCAATATGAGGGGTTTAAACTTACAGACGAAGCAGAATCATCCTTTTTGAATCTCTGGTTGTTCTGCCGTTCTCTGCTTTTTGGGACCACTGTAATGGATTCTGAGAAAGAAACCTCATAGGATAGCTCTTCTGTTACTGATGGGCTGTCTTTATCTAGTCCACAGTCTAGACAGCTATTAGCTGAAAACAAGGGAGACTATATATGAATAATGGAGGTTTGTTTGTGTTTGGTTCAGAGACGTTAAAAATGGTAAAATCAAAACAAAAAGCTTGGGAAGGTGTTAATGGAAAACAGACGAGTGATTAGGCTGTAACTTAATCAGTGGAAGAACCTGTTTATCAGTAGAAAAATCAACCCTTATCATCACATTTGTGCATAATGATCTGACCTCTCTTGTCTAGGGAAACTATTCCTGCATTTGTCCAGTGAACACTCTTTTTTTTAAAAGTTATTGCTAGAAAAGTGCTGTTAACATTATTTCTCTGGTCATTATTGTTTATACTTTTTTTCCTTACAATTTCTCATTATTGCTGCTCTTGGGGAATACAAAAATATAGGACAGGCCCAACCTGTTCAGACAGGGCTCTGTATACTACCATCTGGTTTGCAAAGCTATGCCAGCCCTCGTGGAATTTCTAATATAATCCAAGAACCAAAAGACAAGATGATCAATAGCTCTGTTCCAGAAATTAGTTGCCCACTGCAATTAGTAGGCGTAAGAGGGAACTTTCTACTATGGCAATGCCTTGTCTCTATAGACTTCTAAGTATATTAGCCTGAATGAGCTCTAGTGTTGTGCCAACTTTCATGAGTCTTATAATACTTAAAGTCCCACCTCCTGGAATTATGCAAGTAGGTAAGAATCTCAGCTTTCATTAAAATAAAAAAGTATGTTTTTAATTCTCATGGTTGCAGAGGAAGCTTAGGAACCTGACCCATGTGCATCCTAAGGCCTTAGAAATGAGAAGATGAATAAAGCAATCCCCAAATGTATGATCATAATTATTTAAACCTTAGGATTTTTAAGCCAAATTTATGGTTATTGGGGACATGACTCATCATATTTGAACACTTGAGATTGGCAGTTCTGGAAGTTCAAACATAATTCTTGCAATACAGGTGCTATTGCTCTTTCAAATTATTACAGGGTAAACAAGGCTAGCTATCTTATGAAACACTTTACAAAACAATATGGTGGTAGGTCTCAGGAATCTATTAACATATTTTGAATTACAGTGCACATTGGGTCATAGACTAGAGACTACAGGCTCTGTTCTGTGTAAAGTGTTCAGCACACCACAGCCCCAATTCAAAACAGGGACTTTGAACTCTTCTGTGATATAAATATTTACTGAGAAATAATTGTAATGAATAATAATCTTAACAAAAAGCACATAGGGTATCTCAGAACATAAAATAGCAGATTAACCAATTGACCCTAAAAGGTACTTGCTAGCTCTCATTTCTAAGATCAAGTAAAGATTGGTTAGAGGTTGGCATACTCACAACTCACTGATGTCCAAGCTGGCTTCTGCCCTGGAAGCTGGATACCATTAGAAGGAATTGGTGACACTGGAGCTGTCTCAAATGTGGGCTGATAGGCAAGGAAAAATGATCAGACTAGAATGAAACTAAGAGGATAGAAACTTTTACAACTCAATTAACGATGTATCAATCCACAGCTTATATTTTTTGTCACTACATTTAAACAATCCATTCTGATCTTCCAGAGAGTGATTTTCATTACTCATCTTTGCAGGTAATCGTCTTCAGGCAGCAGATGTTGAGGTCAGTGAGTATTGCTACAGCTCTACACAGTTAATGAGTTCTCCCCTATGTAACGACTGAAATTAACTAATGAAACTGCTTGGTATAACTGCAGCAAGTTAAAGGTTCATATCAATTTGTAATTCATCTTGCTTTTAATCACTGTGGTTAAGGTGCAGTGCACATCCTGAAAAGTATTGAGCAACTTCATATACCACTGACAGTCTCCAGGAACTTCAGCATTTTCCTCCCATAGGCTACACTATATATAACTGGGATTACACGAATAACACAGGTTCTTAATCAGAGTGGCAAACAGTTTTTTAAAAAAAATCTCTTTTCTATTGCTTACTTTTGTTTGGTTTTGCTCAGTAAACCATTTTGCACTGTGTAAAAATGGTGTGTGTGTGTGAAACAGAGGAAGAGAGACAAATATAAGAGCTGAAAGACAAAGGAGCTTTCACTTGGTGTGGCAGTTTTGTGTGCTGAATTTGCTCTTGCAGCTAGGAGCTTTGAACTGGACTAGGAGGAGAATCTGAAGCAGGAAGACATGTTCGGGGATTAAGAAAGTGCAGAAATATTAAAACGATTAAAAGGGCACCTAGCGAAACCAGCTACCTTGGCTAAAATCTTTGTTTTAAAACCTGTGCTGTTCTATGCCTACTGCTAGGATCCTAAAGAACTGTGTCATTTCTCCCACTCTCTTGTTTTTACATGCTACCCAGTCCCTTGAGGCTCGGAAGTATAGCCATCATCATTCCAGTGGAGGGGTGCTGATGAGAACCCTGCTGAAACCATCAAAGCTGCTCTTTAAGCAGCTGAATAAACCATTTAACAATCTGTAGTGATGCCTTCCCCAGAGGCAGAACACACTGTCTTCCCAGTTTGTAGTTAATACACAATGGAGCAGCACTCAGACTGATATAACATGGCAGGTATTTAAAAGGAAGGCAGACCTTCCAACTTGAAGACTAAAATAATGTTGCAGTTGTTTCATACAATCTTATCCTTTGAGTTATTTGGATAACAAAGTCAAATGAAAGATGAATAGAATCTCTCCTGAGAGAGTCCATTTAATAAGCTACCAACCTGATAGCAAACAGGATTTGAGGCACAAGGTTTGCTTTGAACTATAAACCATTAAAAAGCAAGAGCTGTGTAATAAAAGAAATGGAATATTGTAGCATGGTTTTATGATTTTTAAAAACCCTGTATTAAAAGAAATGTTTTATGACAACCCAACCAAGTGCAAAAAATAGGCAAATAAGAAAAAGTAGTGAACATGAATTAGATTTGTAAAATCCTTCCAGCATTGATAACATAAAATATTATAAATAACACAGGAAAAATATCCTGCTTCTGATGGGTATACAATTTGGAAAAAGGAGATTGTTATGGGGCCAGCTACAACTCAATTATTGTCTGCCTCGACCCCAGCGTAAGTTAGAGTAGCCTGCAAAATGCTCTAATATGAGTTTGTTGAGCAGGGGTGGGCAATAATTTTTAAAAGAAATTTCTGAAGTGGCCCTGAACCACCCCCCAAGGGGCGGGGCCTCAGGTGGAAGGGGTGGGGCCAGGAGACTTCTTGTGTTTCCCCCACCCTGATTGTCCTGGTCTTCTCCCTTCATCTCCACCCCATTCCCTAGAGACAAACATTACCTCTAGAAGCCTAGTGGGAGGAGACCTTCTGTGCTCTCCCTGCACTCAAGCCAGTAATGGCCTGGGGGCGGGAGAGTGCTCCCGCAAGAGCATGCGGTGGCTAGACAGACATGCCGGCTAGTTTAAAACAGATAGAGTGTCTCTGTAACTGCTGCATGCCCCTGACAGAGTGGGGACAAGACATGAGAGACTTCTGATTGGCCTGGGGGCAGGGACTGTGTAAAACTCCCCCCTGCCAAAGGTGTACAGCAGCTAGAGATAAACACTGGCTGTTTTAAAAGAGCTGGCGTGTCTCTGTAGCCACCACATGCTCTTGCGGGGATGAGGAGACTTTGCTTGCTCCCCCGCCATCAGGCCCTGATTGACCTGGGGAGAGGGAGTGGCAGGGCAGCCGTGGGCTGGATCCACTGGCTTGGCGGGCTGGATCCGGCCTGCCTCCTGCTGTTGAGTATAGTCCCCTGTAAACAATGCTGGGAATAGCTAAAATACATGACATTCTGGATTCTTGTCTCCCCACCAATAAAAGGAGGGAAGGCCATGTTGGGGAATTTCAGGAAATGTTGCTTGTTTATATCAACTGAGCAACAAAAAGGGAGCTGATTGGGACAGAGACTCTCCTCCATTTTTGTTAGTACATGATTTTTATATATTGATATAGTCCCTTGAAAACAAACTGTTAAAAAGTTAGAAAGCTTGCAACTTAGTGGATCCAATTCTTCCTTCAGTTACATGTGTGAAACACCATTGGCTTGGATGCAGTTCCAATGACAGCAGAATTTGATTCAGTTAGATATCCTGGTTCTGGCCAATGGATAATAACGTCATTACAGATACTAAAAAAGCCTCCAATGTTTACTTGCACGATGTGCACAGGAACAGGAAATTTGACTAGCAAAAGAAAGGTGGAGCTGGAAATGCTCATTTCCTTTAAAAGCTTTCCACTATCCAGAAGAGGTAAAAAAAAAATCATCTCAGCATCACAAAGGCAAAATTGCTTGCACTGCAACCAAGAAACATAAACACTAAAGAGATGTTTAAGTTCTGCTCATGCTGCTAGCTGTCTTTGCTTTTTGAACGACTCAGTTCCAGGCATTTTAAGTGCAAATGCCTTTTCATGCAAATACCTCTAGTTTAGTTAGTGATTTTTTATTAGATCCATCTTCATCCACTACTCTGAGGAAACCTCCTCTGAAAATCAGGTGTGCAGGGTCAGGTACGTCATTAGTATGGAGCTTAACTTGCTCCCCGCTTTTGGACTTTACGGATAGGTTGCACCAGGCAACAAACAGATTTTTGGATCTATTGAGCACTTGCAGCTCCTGGAGATCTTAATGGAAGCTGTGGGCAGTCAACACCCATGAAAATCTAGTCACAGTGACTGATGTGCAATAACATTTAAACAGTTGGGCCTGATGTGGCAGCCCTGTTTTAGAGGTGGGACAGAGTTGCCTTATTAAGAGGAGGATAAGATTGCTTCAAGGAAGCACTATCCTCCTAGAAGCCGCAGGGAGCTCCTGAGTGACATACACTTGGCATCTTGCCCTAGAAGGATGTAGCAGGTTTCCCACTGCAAAGCCAGGTTAACCTTTCCATCCGGAAAAGGGGCAGCCTATGGCCGTATTGATCACATTTCCTTGCCACTAATGTTGGGTGGTTTGGGAGCAGTCCTGTGTTCAGCAGAGTGAAGGATCTGGAACCATGGCTGGCCTCTAAACGTGGGTACAAGGACTCCTCGTGTCCTAGTCCCCTCCTGGTGCACCCACCCAGGCGTCATTCACAATCTGGCCCTATCTCTGTTTCAGTTTGAGTTAAGCCTGATGGTAAGAGCTCCAATTCATTTAGCAAGCGACTGCAGCAATAGGTGGCAAATGAACCTAGAAACACAGTTTTTCCTTCTCTAGGCAGTGTGGAAAACCTCAATAAACCTGCCAATTTGCCTAGGATGCTTCCCTCCCCCAGAGCCTGTTGGACTCCCCACTGGCTGATAGCAAAGTAAATTAAAAATGGAAAAAAGAAAGGCAGAATGCTCTTTTAGAGGGTTGGAGTATGTGTATGTGTGTGTGGGGGGGGGAGGGTGTATAAAAGCAGGAAAGACAATTTTTCTTCTACAGGTGATAGCTATTTATGCAACCAAAAATGCTAACAATTTGTATTCTTCCTCTCCTCTCCTCCAATTTGTATTCATCCTCTCGGTGGGCAAAGATGAGTGTGTCACCCTTATAAAAAGAAATCTCACTTTGTGGTTTAATCACTGTTTCCCTCTGTATCCCTCTCCTCTGCGCAGCTGTAGTGTTTATGATGCCTAGAGGGCGGGATGAAGACTGCACCTCTTCTTTTAACGTAGAGGGTTACATAAACTATTATGTGGAGTTTCACATGGCATTTCTGATGAGCATGCAAACATTTGAAGAAAAGGCGATTTATCTGATATCAGCAATTCAGCCAATGTACATCAGTCATTGTGGACGAAACTGCCAATATTAATTCCTCACATTTTTCCTAATCACTGGAGAAGTGATAAATAAAAGAGTCTATCAAAATCCCATAGCAGTGGGTCATGTAGTGGGGATATTTTCAATGTCACACAGCAGTTGAGAGCCCAACTCATATTGATTTTCAATGGGAGTTTGTTTCCTGCATGTCCTTTAGAGCTCTCCCCTGTATTCTCTTTAAGTAGTGAAGGCAAATGTGTGAAATGTGGCTGTGATGGCAATAGGTGCTTACCAATGCAGGCAGAACTAAACAATTTCATGGGAAGAAGGAATGAGAAATCCTAAGACTGGCAGAACGGTTACTTTTTAAATCTGATCTGAGACTTTCACAATACTGAACAATTAGATGGGCTCAATTTAAAAAAAGGTAATTGTAAAAAGGAAAACTTGAAGACTATGCCTTTAGATAGCTCCAGAACTTACAGTCCTTTAAGTGAGACAAAAGGAGAAGACCAATAAATCAACAAAAGATAATCTAGATAATACTTAGTCCTGCCGTAAGGGCAGGGGGCTGGACTTGATGACCTCTCGAGGTCCCTTCCAGTCCTATTATTCTATAATTAACTCTCTGTGTAACAAAAAGAACTAGTGTAATATTTTTTCTGGTGCCCATTTTTTATTGGCATAATTAAACTTCATTTTGTTGCAGAAACTGCATTCTGCTATACATATCATATCTAATAAGTTTCAGAGGGTGACTAACATGCCAATACCTCATGGTAAAAAGTGAGAAGAAGGCTGGAGCTTTAAGATAAGTGATAGATATTCTGCCTAAGGAAAATGCCTAATCTTACAAAAAGTGCCATGAGATCTTTAATGTCTGTGCAAAGAAGTCTGGGAAATTGGAGTCTTAACCAAGAGACTCTAAACACAGGAAACCATGGTACTTGTAGGACGTGGTACTGTGCCAGTCTTGCTGGGATATGAACTTGTGGTTCCAGAGAGGCTATTTTAAACTGGAAACTGAGCCATTAAGTTAATTCTCCACATGCTTTACTTTTGAACTCCTATTTTCATGTGAAGCAGCTGTGCTTTGTCTTTTTAATAGCCTTTTGCAGGTTATTAGTGCATAGTGTGAACCTTCTGGAAAAAATAAACAAATGAGAAAGGACTGAATATTTTCAAGGAAAAGGGCAGGTTCTTACTACTTTTCAACAATATAACCAACACTATCCATTTTTTAAACCAGGGCTTGGTAGTTTAGTGATGATCTGCATTAAGGACAACAGGAATTACACATTTAAATTCATGAATGCTTCTTTTGATTTTTTTTGTATGTGGACTTAGGGCACACAATTAAATAAAACCATATAAATACAATGCCCAGGGATAAGTAATGGCAATTCTGTATCTGTCATCGGGGACAAGTGGAGGAAGAAATGTTCATTCCTGAACAAATGAATAAAGAATGGGCTTTTATTTGCCTTATTAGTGAAATAAGGTTGCCAATGAAACAATCATAAAAATGCGTGCAGGTGTTTAACTGCTTATGCACACTTGCCCCCTATTGCTTCACTATAGAGGTTTTATCTCACTGCCAAGATTGCTGAGTAAATAGCATGTGTCCTCAGAAGCAAGGAAAAATTTCCACAACTGCCAAAAGTAACTCACTGATATCCAAAAAATAAGGGAGTAAATGTTTATCTTGATAGTGGATTGCAGAATGAAAGGCAAAGGACACGGCATTTTAGTTGCAAAGCTTTGCACCATCTATTTTAGCTGGCTGTAGCGTTCTTTTCAAAGGATAGCTTATTTGCTTATATGGTATCAAAAAGGTCCAGACATCACTCTTTGAGGCAGGGACTGTCATTTACTACTTCTACATTGCCTTGCAGAGTGGGCTCCCTGGTTGAGACATTTGTGTGCTACAGTAATATAAGTAAGAATAAAGTTCAAAACCCTCCATTAGCAAGTATTTGCCACTTACAGAAGAGTCATTAACTCCAAAGATGTCTCGCACATCCCTGACAGTGTGTTTGTTCTTCTTCCTCATAGTCTGAGTGTAGGTATTGTACCTTCTTTGTACTGCGGCAGCTTGCGTGCGGGTCAGTGTGGACAGCAGGGCTTGCCCATCCTCTTCTTCAGCCCCCGAAATCAATGTAGATAAGCCCGCATCTTGCAGCCATTCAGCTTCAAGTTCCCCCTCTGAGAAGGAGTGAGAGTGTTAACATGCCTTGTACGGGGTGGGTAGGGATGTAGCATATTTGGGTTAGTGTGCCAGCCTTTACTCAGGAAGGCTCCATTTCCAATCTGTATCAGGCCACACAAGTAAGTACAATTTAGTTTCGTCAACAAATTGTCAATCCTGAAAACAATCCCCAGCTTGGCTGTCTCTGCACAATGGCTGTTTAGAAGAACAGCCTGGCAGGGGTAAATCAAGCCCGCTAAAGTACACTAATGCAGCATTGTGAAACACATAGCATAGTGCCTGCCCATAATTACCTAGAAAGTTCACTAAACATCAACCCTCATTAAAGAAGATCAATGAAACCCCTTTGAGTTTCCTATATGAGTATACATATGTCCTGTATGGATGTTTCCATCTAACAACGGAAGGTTGGCAGTAATCCTCTCTCTACTTTCATGATATCCTTTTGAGATGGGGTGACCTGTACTTCATGGGGTGGTCCAGTTGAGGCTACACCCTTGATTTACAAATAGGCAACACAAACATGTCAAAGAGGAAATGGATTGATTTTGTCTTTCAGAAACAAAAGAGCTAGTCAACGAGCTCTTTATTAACATATTATTTTTTTAATAGCACACCTGCATTTACACATTTGCTCTAATTTCCTTCCTGACATTCCAGAATCTAGATCAGGGTGGGCAATCATTTTTGAAGGGAGGCCACTTCACAAATTTTGCAAGTGGTCGCAGGCCGCCCCTCAAGGGGCGGGGCCTTGAGTGGAGGGGGCAGTGTCTTGGGCAGAAGGGGGCTGTTTCCTCTAGGTGGGGCCCATCCCTTGTGTGGGGAGGAAACTTCTCACCCTCCCTCACCCAAAGACCCTGATTGGCATGGGGGTGGGGGAGCATGTGAAGTTTTCCCCCCTTCCCTGCCAGGGGTGTGTGGTACCTAGAGAGAACTGCCAGATCCGGGGAGCAGGGCAGAATGCAAAGTCTCTCGCCCCCTACCCCTGCAGGGCAGAGGCTAGAGAACCACCAGCTGTTTTAAAACAGTTGCGCTTCTCTTGAGCTGCTGTGCGCTGTTAGTGGGGGAGAGGAGACTGTGCACTACCCCATCCCCAGGTCTCAATTGGCTTGGGGGTGGGGAAGTGGCAAGGTGACTGTGGGCTGAATTCAGCCCATGGAGGCCCCCAAGTCTTGCTACTCCTGATCTAGATAGCTTGATAGACCCAATTTACTGAACTTTGGCAATTAGATGCACAAAGAGACAATTCAATTGCTAGGGTTTACGTAAGCTATTGACCCTGTTGCTTACTTTGTTTGCCTTTCCACAAGCCGCCAGAAACACATCTAACAAATCTCCCAGCTCTGTATGTACGGCAGTGTGAAAACACAGGAAAATGGAGTGTGAGCACAGTCAAAAAGTCATTCTGCTTAGATGTCACCAAAAGATTGGTGGATAATTTTCCTCATCATTTGTCCAGTTGTAGCACTTGAAAACAATAGCTAAGTAGCACTGTGAAAACCAAAGTGATGATCAAATTAGAGTGAAACTATTTCATAGAAGCAATTGCTGCATAAAATGATTCAAAATAATTTTATGTTTTAGATAAATGGGTTTAATTAAGGACTAGTAATCATTTTTTGTTTTGTTTTAAAGTTATTTTCACACAGTACAATCCACTAGTTTTTACTTAGAAATGAAGTCTAGATACCATGATAAGGAGCCATAATCCTCAACGTACAACTCCCTTCTCCTTTCAGAGAATATTAGGGAAGAAATGTTTCTTCCTAGGGGTCATGACAATCTCCAAAGTATTTAGGTCATCTCAACTGTTACTAAATTCTCATACCATCCATTAAAAATTCAGCTTTCCCCAACTGCTTCTGCCCAGCTCAGTGTGCAGCTCTGAAATGAACCTCTGCTAAACCAACTGCAAGTTGTCCCACTTCTCAAAAATACAAAGGACCTGGATTTTGTTCCTCCAGTGATTCTTGCACAATTTCCAATTCCTTGGCATATAGATGTATGTCTAAATACCTCATACTTTACTGCTGATGGTAAAGCTACTGTTCAGCCCTCTTTGATGTCACTAATATGTCCATCACTTGGCCCACTTCTTCAGCCCTTTATCTGTCGAGATGAAGTCCTCACTCCCATCCCCACTCCCTAACCCCCTGTTATTAATGTCAATGGTATGGAAGTTTTTTTTAATCTTTTTGAAAACACATATTCATGAGAAAGTTTATTCTCCTCAAAAGATCTGCTTCTCTTCCCCTCCCATTTTCCTCAAAGATGTATCAAAAGGTTTGTATTCTTTTTAATGGATTTACATTTTGGTTTTCTTGAGTTTTGAGCAATAATATTGGTATTATCTAAACTTGACTGATAATTATAACTGAATATTTAAAAGAGTTTAGATCCAATACCAAATATTTTCCTAATGCTCAGTTCACTTCCTCACTGAATATGTTTCCAAAAGCAACAATATTGGAGCCATTTAGAGGTAAGTGCAATATAGAAAGGTATTGGATTTTACCTCATAGTCTCATTGTTAATTTTAAGCAGAGGGGAAAAAAATCAATGAGACAGGAACATAATCAGACTAGCAATAAACCTGAGAATGCAGAATCATTTGTATAGTTGTGAGCGTTTCAGTTAACAGCAGCGTATTGCGATGTTTCTGAAAATGAGGATAATTAGAAACAGCTCAGATGTTGCCTGAACTCCACAAAGGTTCAGGTACATAAAGAGTGCAATTAAATTGCATTGAATGTGGCAGTAAGCCAGTAACATTCTAATTCTCAATAAGAATTGAATCAAAAGAACACAGTCCAATGCTTTTAAAATATAACCCTAGATGTTATGTTAGCTCAGGCCTCTGATAGTGTTGTACAGTTTGCTTTTGGATTGTCACAGACCTGTGTAATAAAAACAGACATGTCAAATATCAAACATTCCCCATCTCAAATTTCCATTTCCAAATATATTAGGAAAAAGGCCAGGGTAATTTATTTTTGAGGTGGCATATCAAAGTGGTAGCATATTAAGTGTGGTTCATATTAATGGTGTGAATTTCAAGAAGCTTTGAAGTTTGGATAACATGAATTTTCAAAAAAATACAGATCTCTCTTTGGTTAATATATTGGTTTAGCAGTCTCATAAAAACAGGTCCTTGCAAGGATACATCTAAATGACATCCATATTGAGAAAGGTTAAATACATCCACTTTTCTGGATGTGGCACAACTTCCTCTTCAGGTTGGAGGAAACAAGGAAGAGGAGGTGCACAAGAAATTAAAACAAAACTAAACAAAAAAACTAGATTCAGTTTTGGTTTGTTTCATGTTTGGGATGAAGTTTTGTTGAAATTCCTTTCCTAACTACTGTATACCATTTCACACATCTTCTATCTCTTGCTGAAACATAGGAAAGATCAATTCAGAAAAATCTGCTCCAGAAATCAAAGTGCCAAATACCTGAAAACACAAAATTGAGTAAATCTCTCTCAAGAAATTACTTTGTGTTGTCTGTTAAATTCAGAAAGGGAGCTACCATGGACACAATATCATTTTGGCATGGTTGTGATTCTTGATTAATACTATGGATGGGTGGACTCAGACCAACTCCCCAGATGTGAATCCCTCTGACTTTAAAGGAAATCAGAGTCCCAGTCCACATTTTGTGGTTAAAGCCCACCTGTACTTTAATTGCATCCATGCTGGGAGTTTGTAGAAGCCTTGGTAACGGTGTCAGTGAAAGAATTTAGTCACAGTAAAATATGGGAGGACGAGTATGGAATTTGTATGCTCACCATCAGCTGGCTTGACTTCTAATAGTGTTTGTTCTTCTTGCCCTTGTTCACTGTTTTCTTTGATACTTTCTACTTCACACCAGAAATCCTCCATTGAGGTGCTATCCACGGAGGCCTGGGAATTGGATCGGCTGAACATGGAAGGATGTATGGACTCGTTGGAAAGCATCCTATTAATTCTTCGGCACAGAGGGAGGGATTTTCTGGAAGAAGATAATGATCAAAAATAGAAATACTGTATCTTTGACTTTTTTCTGAAGTTCTGTCTTCTAACACAAAAGACGAAGCTTACAGTCAACTCTGTTTTGAGTTGGGCAGTGGACATAATGGTGGAAATGAAGAACAGAATGCAGTCAGTCTCCTCTCTGAATTTTCTCATTTGGCAGTTTCAGTCACAATCTTAGGGCTACCTTTGTCATCATTTTTTCATTTCATAATTTTTTTTTAATTGTGAAGTGTTTATTATTGGGCACTGGCCTGGACTTCTCTTCCCAGCTCTATCACTGCACTACTGTGTGACCATGACATGTTATTTTACTTTGTGGTGCTTCAATTTCCCCTGCCAGCTTTACTCTGTCTGGTGTATTTTGCTCCTAAATTCTTCTGGGTGGAGGCTGTCTTATGCTATATGTACCGTGTGGCTACTATATGCGCAATGAGTGTCTGCTCTTAGTTGAGCTCTTTTGTGTGACTGTAATACACACAATAAATAATACTAACTGTACAATGGAATTTGGAGAGAGGATCCTAGTGGCCCTGGAAATGGAGAAGGGCCATCCCGTCCTTACCTATTTAAATTAACAGGAATACATTCCCCATTTCTCTTCCTTTTCAGTGTCCTCATGCTGCAACAACACATTATTTAAACCCACACACACCTCACTAGCTCCATAAAAATAGCCCTTTTCGGGCTTCCTCCTCCCATCACTGTGTTTTCATGGTGGTTTTCTAAACAAAACAAATGAAGGCCAAAGAATTAACTTATTCTTTCCTCTTGTGCAGTTGTTCCGAGGTGAAGTGCTGGCTGTTTCTCTGAGAATGCTGGAGCACTCCCTGATCATTTGGGTGGTCTAAGCCGATTAGTGCTGCAGTCCAGAGCTGAACTCAAGGCTAGGGATCAACGGTGGGAACAATGGAACCACCAACTCCAGCTGTGGACATTACCAGTTCTTATACAGGGCAAAGCAGAGCTGCTCTCCCAAAGCTTTGATTATGGGATGTACATTGCAAATGGTACACTTGCCAAACATGACTGTCTGTCACTAGCCAGATGATAAGGAAGGAATTAAAGCTTTTAAATGGGTGGAAGAAAAAGCTTCCAAAAAAGCAGAAAAAAATTATTATTTGGATACATGCTTTTTTTGGAAGAGCAAAATTAAAGTCAGTGTTTCCACATATTTTCGCATGAACTGCAAGTAGTGTAAACACACACAGTCCAACCATTATTGTTTTAATTAGGGCAAGGCACAATCAAGAAACAAGGGGGAACTCATGACATCAAAGTGGTTAAAGCTATTTGAGTGATTTCCATGGAGTTTGCCCATTGGAGACACCAGACCATCTCACTTGGCTTTAGTTCATAAAGCCTCAGGTGACTGAGTCACCAATAAAATCATCATATAGCTCCGTGTGGAAACTGTTCTTCTGGTTATTTCCCGGTTCACCCTTTCCTCCCCCACATATCAGCAAGAAAAAAAATGTAAATAAATTACAGTCATTAAAATTCATGTGGCAAGAGATCACAGAAGGCTCTAATAATGCTTCAATTATTAAAATAAAACACACCATAACCAATCCAAGTAACCCCAATTCTTTCATTGCGGGTGTGGTGAGGGAGGCAACATTTGTTAGCCAAATAGATCCAACTAGTAATGTTTCCAATATGACATTCTAAATGTTAATACAGAATATAAATAAGATAAAAAGGTGCACTCCTGTAGTGACTACAAAAGGATTGGTGCCACGTTGTACTTGGCAATGCAGATAGACAGGCACCTTGTGCTTCAAAGAGCTTATAATATATCAGTTGTTTTCATCCAGGTGCTGTCTGACACAGGGTAGTATTAGGAAGCTGTGACCACTTTGTTCTATCTGTAGTCTTAAATAGGAGAAGGTTCCCAGATGAATGAGAGGACAGGTCTCATTATAGAAAAAATTGATAAGAACTAATCTAAATAGACAAGATAGATAAAGATTAGGACAAATAATGATTGTTTTCATTTTACAGATGGGGCAACTGAGGCATGGCTAGATCAAATGACTTGACTATGGTCACGCACAAAGTTTGTAGCAGAGCCAGGAACTGAGACCAGATTTTAAAAATCCCCATCTAGCATTTTTATTACAAGACATCTTTCCCCTTTTCTGTAGTTAAAATGCAAGTGACGATTCTTATTTAAAAAGAGCTTCTGCAGGAGCCATTTCAAAGAACAGTCTCAATGTTATAAACCTTTGTAAAAACAATCAAGCACATATATCAGGTCAGAATTCCTTTAATGGCAGTCATTAAAATGAACACTCCTTTCATTCTTGCAATGAAATCTATGTTGAAGAAGCAGCAGAATATGTTCCCAGATAACACAACTGGCTTGGACTAAACTGTCTTTTAGTCATTGTCAGGGAATTCAAACATTTTCTGCCTTTCAGTGTGTGGAATACTAACTGTGACCCTAGCGCTCCTTTAGCATCACACCAGTCTGATCTCTGGGCTCTGACTCCTTCAACACTTCAGCTAACTCAAACCAAGGCCTTACAGCACCATATTAGGAAGAAACAAGAGCTGGTGGTTTCAGCAGCAGCTCATATGGTATTTTGTAACATAACCATACAAAAAAATAAAATGCAAAACAGATGTGTGACATGGCAACATCTAATGTGGCAACATGGATCATAAGGTTACAGAAAATTAACCTATATGCAGAACAAAATTAAAAGTACAGAAGACATTTTGAAAATCAGAAGAACAGTCTCTCACGAGTTGCATATGTGAGGCTTCTTATCTCACCTCAGATTAAATCATGCTGTGTAAGAGTCACATTACAAGAAAAGTTAGACCATGACCCATTGGTAACAACCGAAGATTGCTTACAGGAGGTCCGGTTCACAAATTATTCTGATGCTTGCTACCAAAAGCATGTGTATAGACTTCTAGCTGTCATACTGACCCATATACTCGGTCCTTTAGTCCTGGAGGAAATGTTTTTGCCTGTAAATGATAATGGTGCTTGTCTGCATTTCCTTCTAGCACATGTTTTCCAAAACAGATTCAGAAAATATATCTCAGGAGGAGCAAAGTAGGTCTATGTTCTTCATCACTTAAATTTGCACTGACAGCACACCTGGCGTGAGTGCTGTTCATGAAGGAACAGCTCAGCCACCCCCGAACAATGGAAGCAGTCCATCCTACCCTCCAGCCACTGTCTTCACTCAAAGGGGCAGGTTTTTTATTTTTCTTGCTGGCTAATAGGCATCTAAATTCCTGAGCTGATTCTGCTGTTTTTTAAGAAACACTTGAAAAGAAGTAACAACACAGGAGTAGCAGTAGCCAAGTTTAATTTTCATCTACTTTAGTTATCCTCTCGTCCTTTTTTGTTTTTGTTTTTAAACAAAGGCAGTCATGAGGGGATCAAGTAACAGTCTGGCCAAAAATTAAGAGGAGAAGCTTATGCCTTGGCCTTCTGGAAAGAAGAAAAGACAGTGCAGAAAATGGTTGGAGAGAGAAATGAGGCTTAAAACATCAATCAAATATTTCAATGGCAGGACTAAAATGGATGAGGTAATTTTCAGGGTTGGGATTTATAAAACTTGCAAATGAAGAGGTTAAAAAAGATACAGTGAAAGAATTTGCAGCAAGGCTGAGCTCTGACATCATTAATTACAGAAGAGTTAACTGGCAGTAAAGAGCATTACAATTTGGGCAAAGGTGATTGGAAGACAGAATAAAGCTTCTCACGATTACTGTAGCATCAAGATCACTTGTTGCATACAGTGTTCAGTGTTGTGTCTGACTCACTAGATTATCTACTGAGTATTAGGATGCCTCAGGGGTTCAAACAATGCTGTAGGATAACATTGAATCTGGCCCCAAACTTCTGAACTCCTGAATTTCTGACAAACAAAAATGCATTTCTGTCTCTCATCTCCCTCTATCTGCCTGTTTAGTGGGCACTAAGTCATACATTTCCCTATGTGACTCATCTTCACTGTAAGATGCTGGAAGTTGACATTTCCTTACTAGTTTCATTTACAATCTACTTTGAGAGACAGTGTTCAAGAGAACACATACAACGGATGAAAAATATCTCTAAGACCTATGATACAGATACCCAGTGTGAAGCAATAAGGTAACCTACATTATGCCTTTTGACCCACATGTTTGAGATCTTGTGGGCTATTTCCATGGGAGAAAAAATGGATGTCAGATATTTATTTGATATAATCCTGTTTATTTACACAGAATATATATAAAGTCCTGTTTCCTTGAACACAGTAGTAATTAAACAATAGAAGGCAGTTTCTTTGGTCGTAGTTACAAGCTTCTTTCCAGCTAATAGTCTGGCTACAAACCTCTCTCTTCCCTTAGGCTACATCTATACTTCGGGTGTTTTGAGGGAGAGGAAAAGCAAATGGAGTGCTCATTTGCATATCTGCTTCCGATCCTTTTCGAGGAAGAGGTTTTTGTGATAAAAAGCCCTGTATAGATGTGGCCATTTGTCGGAAAAAAACCGTTTTGCTCAAGAGCCTTTATTCCTCAAATATGAAGTTTACAGGCGCTTGTGCAAAAGGGTTTTTTCCGACAAATGGCCACATCTATACAGGGCTTTTTATCACAAAAACCTCTTCCTCGAAAAGGATCGGAAGCAGATATGCAAATGAGAGTGCAAGATATGCAAACTAGTGCTCCATTTACATTTCCTTTTCCTCAAAACACCCGCAGTATAGATGGAGCCTCAGGGTTTTACTTCTACTGTTTCTCTGCTGGTATATACAGCTGCTTGTCTTTCTCTGTTCCTGGTTGCTTCCTGGAGCTTTTGCTCACAGACACATATATGTCCATTAGACAGTGAAAGTGAAACTTCTCTGCCCACATAGTTTTTTTTGACAAGTCTTGCATGTGGCCTATGCTTTATGTGATGGCTCATATTTCAGGAGCCATTAACCAAAACAGGAACTTCTCCATGTTTTACATTTATCCTGATTGAAG